GAACCCAGAATCTTGATAATTACACCTGGCTTCTTCCTGCACCCTTGCTTTCCTTCAGCTCAAGACTTGAATGTGTTTTTAAATTGTTTTGAAATTGTATAAAACGTTTAATAACTGTGTTCAGATAAGGTAGCTCAAATTCTTTCCAAATGCAAGAATTAAGAAGATATAGACATATAAATGTCTCTCCCTCCATCTGCTGGTCTTCCTCTACCTGCCCAGTCGCACAGTCCAATATTCAAATCTCAGAGCAGGCACATTTCTCTTTGGACATTGTTTTCTTAGAACAGAAAAGTCTTACTTTAGTATTAATTCAGATTCTTTTAAGATTTTAATCTGTTCACCTGACTTCCAGACATATGATTTGCAGACTCACAAGTGGCAGAAAAATAGTTTTTTTTTTCTGTATTTCATATTTTCATAAAAAGATGAAAACTACTTCAATTTGGGGTGATAATCTATACTAAGTCTAATTAATATTGTGCAATGTATCACTTAACTGCTGAACTCTGAACTTCTACCAATTGAATATTAGCCCTCATGGCCAGTAGTAGCTTATAGTTCTGCTAGAATCATCGGTCATATCCATGTTGCTATTGCTTAGTAAAGAAGCACTTTCACTCAGTGTTTCATGATGAGGAGTCGGGGAGGCGGGCACTGTTTGGCGTTGGCAGGTTCAGAGGAGCCTTTCCTGATGCAGGGAAGTGTGCCCTCCGGGACCAGCACCAGGACAGTCCTGCAGCCAAGTACTGTGCCTTCAACCAAGGCTTCTGTGCAAGCCTGGGTGCTAATAGTTAGAATGCCAGTGAAATTCAGAGCTCTGATCTTCCATTATTCCATGCCACTATTCCTTTGGGGGTAATGTGCTCTGCTTTTTAAGCAAAATTGCAAATGTACGTCTGTAGCTTAACCCATTTCTGTGTTGGAAATAAACATTTATGAAGTGTTCTGATGTAAGTGGCTTAAATATTAACCCATGTAGTCCATGCAAGAGGATATGTACTGATACGGTTGGTATTATGGATGAAGCAGCTGGGGCAGTAGCTGATAGCTCGCCTGAGTTCCACTGTTGGTAAGATACAGTCCTGGGACTTGAACACCCAAAGTCTGACTTCAGGGCTGGGCTTCTAAGCCATTTTTCCACACTGCTCATAGTGTCCATGCCCAGCTTTTATGGTTGTCATTCATCTTAGAATTTTAAATAATTTCTGAACTCTTCTAGTACCTAATACAATGTGAGTGGCATGTGAACAGTTATCACAATGTATTATTTGGGAAATAATGACAAGGAAAAATATCTGTGCATGCTATTTCTGTTTTTCAAACATGTGTGATGTGCGGCTGCTTGAATCCATGGATGTGGAGCCCGCAGATGGAGAGGACTGACTGGATCAGGCGGTGGCTGAATGTAACAATGTTGGACAGTAGACAGTAGAGTGCCTCTTGTGCATTATGTTGTGTCGAGCCAGAGTTTTCGGTGACTTTAAGGGCATTCAAAATTATTTATTTTTGATCTAAGCAGTAATACTTTTATAGGGAACAGTGTACAACTGTTTTGTGTTTACATAGGACCTCATCACCATATTCAACATTTAATTTTTGTGATTTTTGCCATATTATTAATATTAAGCATTGTATAATGTTCTGTGCTGAAAATATTACATTTTAGAGGTTGATGTGGCTTAGTGGGTAAAGCTGCTGCCCGCAACACCATCATTCATTGTAGATGCGGGTTTGTGTCTAATTGCTCCACTCTAATCCAGCTCCCTGCCAATGGCCTGATAAAACAAAAGAAGATGGCCTAGGTGTTTGGGCCCTGCCACCCACATGGGAACCTGGATGAAGCTTCTGGCTCTTGGCTTTGGCCTAACCCAGTCTTGGCTGCTGTGGTCACCTGGGGAATTAACCAGCCAATAAGATTCTCTCTCTTGTTGTATAACTCTGAATTTCAAAATAAATAAATCTGGAAAATCAAAAAAAGATCTATCACATTTTATTTTGCATACATTTATTGATGGAAACTTTGGTTACATTTTCACTATTCTGAGTAGCGCTGTGTTAAATATTCCAGTAAGATGATGACAGCCTGTATGCGTGAGTTTCCCTAGGTCTGTACTAGCCACTTTTAGCCAGCTAGATAAAAACTAAAACGTCAAATTCCCTTTTACTTCTAGCAAAAAAAGAGACTGAGGGAGAGAAGCAGATTGAGCTCCTATCTACTCCAGATGGCTTCAGCAACTGGGGGCCTGAAGCCTCGAGCTGAGAACTCCATCCAGGTGTACCCTGTGGGTGACAGGGGTTCTGCTACCTAGACCATGACCTGCTGATGCCCAGGGTCTGCAGGAAGCATGAGTTAAGAGCCAGAGCCACAACTCAAACCCAGGAATTCCAACATGGGATGCAGGCATCTTAAGTGACATCTAACTAGCCACGTTTGAAGTACTCAATAGCTGTGCATGGCTAGTGTTGTTCTAGAACCGGGCTTCACAAACTATTCATGCATAGCACAGACAGAAAGCGGTATTGGTATAGTTCAGTGTGTTAAACGTACAAGGAGCTTGGAATCGCAGGAGGCTGGTTCAAGGACTCTGGCCTCCATGGGCCTTTTTCTGTTGCACCAAGGACTCATGAGTCACTGACACTAATTGCACACCGCCATGCATCAGGTCTGCTTGGAGCAGGTGCTGCAGGCTCCAAATCTATGAACATTTTTAGTTCTACTGGTTATTATCATGTTGTTTTCCAAACCAGTTACAACAATTCATGTTTTTACCAGCATTGAATGCAACTTCCTCCTTTCTCATGTCCTTCGCCATACTTGGTAGTGGCGGTTATCATGCATTAATTAATGCTATTAATTTAGTTTCTGATGAACTTGAACATCTTTTACTTTTGTTGTTGCTTTTTCAGAACTTCCTCTTTCCTTTGTCTATTTTTGTATTATCTCATTTGCTGTTTCACTTTTTAGGATACTTGTATTTTTTTATGTTAAGCCATTCACCATTTATGCACAACACAAACATTTAATTTGGTGTGTAGCTCATCTTTTAGCTTTGCTTATTGTATATATTGTAACACTAGAGTTTTACCAGGTAATATTATTGAGATTATCAGACTTTTTCCCCGCCTCCATGGCTGAGTTTTTGTAGTTTATTTTAAGAAATCCTTTCTTATTGCAGTACCATAATGATAGTCTTTTATTTGTTCTAAAAGTTTCAAGTTTTACTTTTCATGTAGAAGAATTTGATACTTTAAAAACATCAAGAATCATGATTTAAATACTTAAGGCAAAATGTTTCAATTCCATAAATGTTACTAAAGTATACATTGTGTAGTTGAGCTGCTACAAAAGGAAATGGAGAGTGGATATTTTGAAGTATTTAGAGTTTGTAGTTGTGGGGCTGATATTGTGGCCCAGTGAGTTAGCTGCTACTTGAACATGGGCATTTTATATTGGAGTCCTTGCTATTCCACTTCTGATCCAGCTTCCTGCTAATGCTTCTGAGAAGGCAGCCAATGACAGCCCAAGTCCACGGGCCCCTACCATGCATGGGGGGGATCTGAGTGGAGTTCTACTTGTCCTAGCCTCAACTGTTGCAGTCATCTGGGGAGTGAGCCAGCAGGCTGAAACTCTTCCGGGATCGTCTATCTACTGATTCATTCCCAAGATGAAATGACTGGAGCTGGACCAAGCCAAAACCAGGAATCTGGGTCTTTTACATGGGTGCCAGGGGCCCAAGCATTTGGACTATCTTCTGCTCTCCCAGGAGCATTAGCAGGAAGCTAGACTGGAGATTGAGCAGCTGGGACTCAAACAGGTGGCAGCTTAATTTATTGAATTGCAGTGCCAGCTCCATCTTCTGTTGTTTAATTTTTAAAAATTTGTATAAAGCAAACAAATTTCATGTTTTTAATGTACATGATTTTAAGACTGTAATACTTCCCACCCTATTCTCCTTTCCACCATCCCTCCTTATTTTAATTTTTACAATAACATACTTTGAATTTATTTTGTAGTCATAAGCTTAGCCCTCAAGCAAATAAAAAAAAATTCAGCAAGTAGTAGGGAGAAAAACTGCTATTCCTCAGGAATACAGACAAAGTCTATAAACTATAATCGAATCTGAAAATGCCAATTTCAGTTATATTTATTACATTTTTATGCTACATATATTAGTTACCACAAATCGGGGGGACATGATATTTGTCTTTTTGGAACCGGATTTCTTACTATCACAATGACCCATTGCATCCATTTTTGTTGTAAAATACAGGATTGCATTTTTTTTATACAGCTAAGTAGTATTTCATTGTGCATGTATACCCCAATTTCTTCATCTGGTCTTTAGTTGATGGACATCTGGGTTGGTTCTATGTCTAAGCTATCATGAATTGAGTTGCTGTAAACAGGGCAGTACAGATGACTCTGTCATATGCTGATTTCATTTTGTTTGGATAAATTGCAGTAATGGAATGGCTCAGTCATATGGTAGCTCTATTTGCAGGTTTCTGAGGAATCTTCAGTACTGTCTTCCATAGTGGTTGTACTAGTTTACATCCCCACCAACAACGAATTCAGGGGACCTTTCCCCACACCCTTGCCAGCATTTAATATTTTCTGATTTTTGAATTCTAACCATTCTAACTGGGATGAGGAAACATCATTGCAGCTTTGATTTGTATTTTCCTGAAGGCTAGTCATCTTGTACATCTTTTCATATGTCTGCTTGCCATTTGAATTTCATACTTTGAAAGTTGCCTGTTCATATCCCTTACGCATATCTTCATTGGAAGGCCTGCTTTGTTGTCTTGAGTTTATTGATCTCCTTTTGCACCCTGGATATTAATCCTTTATCGGGTGTCATCTTAATACCCTGGGATGATGAAATATTTTCGGGATCTTGTATATTGGCACTCATCCTTGAATCTGAATTAACAAGGGCAGATGTCACTGTTCTTCCCCTGGTCATGTTGCAACCTAAGTTCTCTCTGTTTTTCAGAATCCCTTACTTTGAAACAAGTGCTGCCAACGGGACAAACATAAGCCAAGCAATTGAGATGCTCCTGGATCTGATAATGAAGCGAATGGAACGGTGTGTGGACAAGTCCTGGATTCCTGAAGGAGTGGTGCGCTCCAATGGTCATACCGCCACAGACCAGATGAACGAAGAGAAGGAGAAGGGATCATGTAGCTGTTGAAACGTCAAGTGCATACCGCACCGATTCCCATGGTCAGGGCCCATCTCAGCAGCTGATACAGGGCACAGTGAGAGATTGATAGGCATTGGGTACAAACTGCTTCTCACCAACCCCACTCAACTGTCTCTTTGACGTCTAGTTGGAAAGTGAATTTGCCACAACTTTTCAATATTTCTTTAACATTCGAACTGAGAGTTGTGAGAAATATTTCTCAGAGTCAAAGTGCCTTAGAAAACCTTAGCCCCTGGCATTAGATAATTCAAGGGTTCAGAACTTTATTGTCACAAGTTATATTTATGATAAAGAAAAGTCTACAGATGTCATCACTTGCCTTAATGTACATATCCCATTTAAGATCTTAGATGCTATTATAAAATCTTCACAGCCTTGATTCTAGAGTTGAAATCATTGGTGACCTTCTAAACTCCCATACAAACCACTTAAATTTTAGGGAAAAATATACTCACAGATCTGTTCAGTGTCTTTCTTACTGTCAGCATTTCTTTTTATATGCATGTAGAAAGAACTGAGGTCATGTTTATACATCCTGAGTAAAGTGGACTGAGCAGTTGTGTGCTCACTGTGCCTTTTATGTTGTTGGCAAAGGAATTGGGGGTGTTCTGGGGCAACCTAATGTAGTATATGCAACTGCCAAGGGACTCCTGGCTCCCTGCTTTATTCCCACTGCTGAAAAGGTGATTGAAGAGCCAGAGAACAGGATTCTATGGCTTCAGTTAACTGGGATTCATTTATTTGTGCTTGGCCTGTGTTCTGGCCACGTCTGAATATAGCTGGTGCTTATGCTGAAGTTCTTTGTGTTGAGTAAACATGTAGATCTTTTTTTCTCATATTTATGATACAGGTCTGGCCTCCCTAGACTGCCGTTTCAATTATCTTATGAACTACAATCTTCTGTCTTCATTATCAGGTTCTGTACTGTTGATATTTGCAACTTTCTTATTTTCCCCCTGGTGGAATGGAAGAAGTTAGATGTTAAGGACTTATCACAGCTGTTTGCTATTGGTGGAAGATAAATGTTTATATCCAAGCATTCAGATCTGTACTCTTGTTCAGTATAAGGAAATGAAGTTTATTACACTCCCGCTTTGCTTTGAGCCCATGGGTATTCACTATACTTACTGGGTCCTGCCAAGATCATTTATTCTGCTGCATCACCAAAGTGCACTCACATCAGCTCCACGGTGGTTTGGGAAGCTGCTCTATGGAAGTTGTTTGTAAAGTTCAAAGGCATTTCATTGGGGGGAAACTTATTATTTATTAAAGGGATTTAAGTGAAGTAGATTAGAATTTCCAGAAAGCTTAATGGCTATTTAGGAAGAAATGCCACTCATTACACTTTAAATAAAGAAAAATAAATGTATCTTGTGACTGCAAGTACTTGGCAGTGCTGTACTGAAAAATACATGCGTGTTAGAGGAGTCTTGCCTTTTGCTGATGACCTGGCTTCACTGAGCAGCTGTCATGATTGTTCCTGCTGGCTTTCTATGCTCCTTAGCAAACTTAGCCTTGTTTGTCAAGATTTTGGATATTTTTGCCTTTGGAATTAGGGCTTCTTTTAAATACCAAAGAGATCATTGAGGTCAGAACATTTGGTCTGTGTGTTGGAGTGAGGGAAAGATTCAGAATTTACGTTAATAGTGCCTTTTGAAGTTATCTTAAGACTCTGGTGTAGTGCATCACTTAATAGCCACATATCAGGGCATATTTTATATGATCTATTTGTGTAGTTAGAATACAGTGTGGGCATGCTGAGTTTTTGTGAACCAAGTGAATAATGAAATACAGATTTCATTGACCTTAAACATATACAATTAGATGCACACTTGGCAACGTTTATACCTACAAACATTCTTTAATTATCAAAACAGATAACCTGTATTCTCTTAGGAAATCATTTGCTGAAATTTGAAATTAAAGTACCATATTTTTGTGTGTCAATGTATTTTTCTATTTACAAGCCTGTGTAAAAGTGAAGTGTATGTTTCTTCAATGGATTTTGTGCCAATTCAGCTATAATAATAATAATAAAAAGTGGACTGATTATTTGAGTTTGTGAGTAATTTAACACAATAACATTTCAAGGGGGTGATGTACAGTGCAGCAAGTTAGGCTAACACCTGCAGTGCAGTTTTGGCATCCTGTGTAAGCATTGGGTCAGATCCTGGCTGTTCCACTTCCTGTCCAGCTCCCTGCTAATGTGTCTGGGGAAGCAGCAGGAAATGTCCCAAGTGCTTGGCTTCCTGCTACCCATGTGGGAACCCTGGACAGAATTCCAGCTTTCTGTCTTCAGCTAAAGTCCTCGCTTTGCATGTGCAGGGATGCCATATGGGCACCGGTTCTAATCCTGGCAACCCTGCTTTCCCATCCAGCTCCCTGCTTGTTGAGAAGGCAGCGGAGGATGGCCCAAACTCTAGGACCCTGCACCCACATGGGAGACCCAGAAGAAGCTTTGCCTCCTGGCTTCAGATCGGCTCACCTGTTGTGGAAGATCTTTCTGTCTCTCCTCCTCTGTAAATCTGGCTTTCCAATAAAGAAAAAAAAAAGGTATAGATATATCCAGATTATAAAATAGTAAATTGAAATATTGCTAGACTATTTCTTCAATAGATTATCAGCTAGTTTGAGAAATCAATGTGAAACTTTCTAAATATTATTTTAGTGTTATGTGAATATTAATTTTAAATGAATAAAAGTTGTAGTAACATGAGTTCCTATACCCCCACTAAAGTCTCCTTTTGCCACAATTAATGAACCCACACCCAGCTTCCCTTATTGCTTTATCCAAATTTCTTTTACTCCTCCTACACCTCCTAAGATCTTGTAATCAACATTTTGTGTTAAACCTTTTTTAGTTATTATCTTATGTTCCACATATGTGGGAGAACATGCAGGATTTGTCTCTCATTTCTGGGTGTTTTCATGCAACATGATGTCCTCCTGTGCCATTCACTTTTGCTCCAGGTGATAGGATTCCATTTTTTTATTTTAGATTTATTTATACAGAGAGGAAAGACACAAAGGAGGATCATCTGTCCACTGACTTACTCCCTAAGTGGCCACAATGCCCAGAGCTGAGCTGATCCGAAGCCAGGAGCCAGGAGCCTCTTCAGGGTCTGCCACACGGGTGCAGGATCCCAAGGCCTTGGGTCCATCCTCTACTGCTTCCCCAGGCCACAAGCAGGGAGCTGGATGGGAAGTGGGGCAGCTGGGATATGAACCAGCATCCAAATGGGATCCCTGCATATGCAAGGCGAGGACTTTAGTTACGAGGCTACTGCACCAGGCCCAATCTATAGGTTTTTTTGCTTTGGATCATAAGTGTGATGATATAGCTGAAAAACTTTTTAAATCATAAAATACTTACAGCTAGATAAAGTTGATACAATCTTGGTCTAAAAGTTGTTATTTATTTGAAAGAGCGAGAGAGCTCTTCCCAAAGGAAGAGCTGCTTTACTCCCTAAAGCATCACAGGGGCTGGACTGGGCTGGACTGGGCTGGACTGGGCAGAAACCAGGAGCCTGAAACTCCAACTGGGTCTCCTGGGTAGCAGATAGGGACCAAGGACCTGGGCCATTTTCTGCTGCTGCCCTAGGCCTTGGGCAGGGAACAGCCTGGACCCCGGTGGATGCTGGAGGCACAGGTGCCGGCTTGGGGAATGTAATCCGTAAATACATTTGGAAAGCAATTGAGTATTTTCTACTAAATTAAGAACTGTATGTATCTCTGATTCAGCTGCTCCATACAAATAAACTGTATTTTATCAGGGAAAAAAAATAAAGTTTCTGGGTAAAAATGCTTATTATGCTCAAAGATAGGAATAGCGTTGATAAACGGCCAATTAAAATGACACTTTCATGCAACGGTGATAATACAGGTGAAATACCCATCAGCATAAGGTACGCAGGGATTGTTGTAAATTCTGGGGATACAGCTGCAAACAAAACAGGTAACAATTCCCTGCCTGCATGGAGCTTGAAAGGGGGAGAGTCCAAAGTGACGGGCAAGGTCAGCGGCTTGAAGGACACACACACACTCACGTTTTACCCACAGAAAACCGCTGAGAGATCACCCAGGCGACCTGTTTGGTGCAGGGAGGGTCGCTATAGTTCCCTGTCAAAATGTTTTTCCTAGATGGATTTTGTGTGTTAATATATAAACTTACAAGTGGTGGGAATGTAAAAGATGATTTAGTATAGATTATATAAACATCCATATACATCAAACGTGTGCCTCAGCGACCCGGGCGTTCACAGCAAGCTTGGGTAGCAGCTTCTCTTTGGGACAACAGTGTCTTTTGGGACCACAACTGGGGGTTAGTCGAGGGCAGGCACTGAGAAAAAGAGTCCCTGAAGACAGGAAGTCTCCCGGTGTGGAGACCCTCCGCGGCGAAGCTCAAGGCCAAGGTGAGCTAAAAAAGCACATCAGCAAACGGCGACCGAAGCCTGGTCCCTCGTGGCCCACCGGATCCCACCGCACTCCCACGCGGTCCGCGGCTCCGCGCCTGCGCGAGTGGTAGCGCAGTTGCCCGCCCGGCCTCCGGGGCGCGCTCACGGTCGGATCCAATCTTCTGGGGCCGGCCGCAGGCGGAAGGCGCTTGTGTTTTCCGGTTTAGGAGCGGAGGGGCGGGGCATCGCGGAGAAGCGCTTCCGGTAACGGCATTACACCACTTCCTCTCCGGCTCAGTGTCTGGCCCGTGGATTCCCACGCGGGCTCAAAATGCGTATCGAGAAGTGTTATTTCTGTTCGGGGCCCATCTACCCGGGCCACGGCATGATGTTCGTCCGCAACGACTGCAAGGTGAGGCGTCCGAGGCCCGCGCGGTTCGGGAGGCGCTGCGGCTCGGTGCTGGGCGGCTCCGGGCCGCCTTTGGTTCGATGGGCTTCTCTGCCGGCGTCGTGGGCGCGCTGAGGGGCTGGGGTCAGAAGGGAGGGCCACTGGTCACGACGGGCACTGTGGGGTCTGTGGGGTGTAGACCCGCTGGTCACGGCACTGTGGAGTCTGCGGGGTGTAGACCCACTGGTCACGGGCACTGTGGGAGTCTGTGGGGTGTAGACCCGCTGGTCACAGCACTGTGTGTAGACCCACTGGTCACGGGCACTGTGGGGTCTGTGGGGTGTAGACCTGTTGGACATGCGCACCGTGTGGAGCTGTGGGTAGTAGACCCGCTGGTCATGGGCACCATGGGGTCTGTGGGGTGTAGACCCGCTGGTCGCAAGCACCGTGGGGTCTGCGCTGATAGGCAGAATGGAAGTGCAGAGTGATGCGAAGGGCTGGAGCCTCGCCTGGTAGCACTAGCCAAAAGTACAAACATGTTTCCTCCACTGTTGGATGTCTCCTCTGCCAGTCCTTAGCTCCCATTGGGAACTCTCCACTGCGTGGCAAGCTCCTGGTTGGACCGACAGTGGGCCTGGGGGCAGTGGTCCTGGGGATGGAGCTTTTTCTCTTTCTCCTAATGCGATTGCTGAAGGCCACCCTGAGCATCTTAGTCTTTGTCTCCAGCGGTCCAGTCCTCTGGGTTCTGCCTCAGGGAGGAGGCTGCTGTTTCTGCCTGTGATTTCCGCTGTGCTATCCTCTGACCGTGTGATAGCTCGTTGGACTGGCTTTCCTAGAAGTATCTCACTTTTCAGAGTGGAATTAGTGCTGATGCTAATGACGTTGTTTCAGTAAGTTTGTGGAAATGGAACCAAAAGATTTATTTTGTTGGAAGATGAAATCTGCATGTTACAAGGGGTCTTCATGAGCAACGATGTATCTGGTGAGAAGTTTGCAAACATCTTTTGCATAAAATAATCTTCAGATTTTGTCGTGAATTTTTTTGTAGTACTTCCATATTTTGACATTTTGCAGATAGGAAAAATACAAGCTTATTGAGGCTTAATAAGATTATCATATTAGCAGAAGGATTTGAAGAACTTTGAGGCTTGAGTGGGTAGATGACTTATTTGCCCGTTGACGATAGGGATGGTGGGAGATTAGCCAGGAGGAAACTTGCCCCTCTGAGCCTTACATGCCACATAATTCATCCCTTACTTGTCCTCGGACAGGAAGCACCTTTTCATGTTTCTGTGTTAGTGTATGTAGCTTTTACATTCGTTTATATCCAAGTCTAATTCTGATCTTTGTTGTTTGAGCAGCAGAACTGGCATTGCTAGCCTAAGCTTAGCCTGGGTGCTGTGATTTCACTATTCCTCAGCACCTGGCACGGCATCAGGCATGTGGTGGGTACTGCGCATCTTCTGGTACAACCCCCTTCATCGTCTGTGGTGACCAACATCCTCACAGGCTTCCCTCCTTAGACCTTATGCCGCTCTTCTCATCTCGTGCTTCCTGGATGTGGAGTCAGCTAGACTTCTTGTTGACTCTTGTTTGGAATTGAAAAGACCCAGGACAAGCTCAGCTCTGACTAGACTTCAGCTCTGTGTGTGTATGTGTGGGGGGTAGTTAGTATATATTAACTGTTGGAGGCTTTATAAGATAATTGTATTTTATACTGAAAATCCATTTCAGTGGTTTACTGTAGGAGGTTTCAGTGGTTCTTGTGTTTTCTAGTTCAGGGACATAGAACTGTTGTCGCTTACATTTCTCAGGGTTGACCTTGCTTGGAGAATCTGGTCTGTATGTTGTGATCTGCCTGAAGTTCCCTGTAGCACAAGTACATGTAAAGCAAAGAGTTTTGATCTGTGCTGTATATAGAGGCTTGCTTAGTTTGAAGTGTTTACTCTGTTCAGTTTTCTTTTAAAGGTTTACTTATTTATTTGAAAGGCAGAATTACAGGGAGGAATACCTGCTTTAGGCTTGTCCGTTCACCCAGTGGCTGCAGTGGGCAGGACTGGACCTGGCCAGGAGAAGCAGCCAGGAGCTCCATATGGGTTTCCCATACAGGTGGCAGGGGCCCAAGTACCTGGGTTATCTTGAGCTGCTTTCCCAGGCACTTTAGCAGGGAGTGGGATTGGGAGAGAGTATGAGAGTGAGAGCCTGTGAGTTGAAGCCAGGAACAGCGAGCTCCATCTAGCCTCTCAGGGGAGTGTCTTGGTCCACGGAGTCTTCCCAGGTGTGTGGTAGCTGGATAGCTGGACTGGGGGTGAGGGGGTGAGGAGGGGCAGCCAGACCCACAGCCCAGCACTGCAGTGTGCCATATTGGTGTCCCAGGCACTGTCATCGTCTATAATACCCTCGCACTGTCATTTCAGCCTATTTCCTTTATGGGTCACACCTTCTAAGTATGATAATTCAACTTAATTTTCTTTACCAAGGTCCATAAACTTCAAAGGATTGCTTTCTTTCTTCATATTTCTCCCAGTAACATTCATAAATTGCCATGTGTTCTACAACATTACCAAGTAAAATGGTGCACTTTAAAGTTACGAGTCTTAATAAGCCATTTCATAAACACACTGAGACATCAAGTTGTAAATTAGCACTATGAAAGAGTCACATTTTGTGCAATGATGGGCGAAGAATTAAAGTAGCTTTTGCTGGTATACTTGAATAAATATTTTAGGAACTAAATCTCTTGTCAGTTATAGTTGCTTTTTGGGTTATTCTGTGCTTTTAAGAAGGGTGAAAATAATTGAAAGAGATTTCAAAATAGTTGTTTCGAAGTTACATGCTCATTGAGGCATATAGAAAATGAGTTTTGAAAACTAGCCTGAATTAAGAAGGAACTTAACATGAATGCTTTTATTTAAAAAATTTGGTATCATTATGTGACTTTCATGTTACTCTATGAAAATGCTAATAGATTTTTTTAAAAAAATTACTTGAATTGTAAAGAGGGGAGGGCGGATGACATACGTGTATGTTCTGCTGTGGCTGGACCAGGCCAAAGCCTGGGGCGAGGACCTCAGCCTAAGAGTCAAGCTCCTGAGTACTTGAGCCGTCAGCTGCACCTGCTGCCTCCCAGCGTGTGCAGTCACATGAGCTAGAACCAGGACGCAGTTGGGATTGAACTCAGGCACTCTCAGTATGTGGCTTGGGTATTTCAGATGACATCTTAACTGCTGTGCCTAATGCCTTTTCAGACACATTTTCAGAGCTCTTAAGTAGTTGGGATGATATTTGATAAAAAAAAGTTCAATCTCCATTTAATGTGTCTTCGCACATTGCTAATGGTGTTATAAGTAGAATGATTTGTGAATTAGAGCCATTGTTTTTTTTAGAATTTTTGTCATGTGGGGTAATATCTTGTGTTAGAAAATTTGTTTTTGACTTTGACTTTTCAATATTTTACTTTTCTCGCAGGTGTTCAGATTCTGTAAATCCAAATGTCATAAAAACTTTAAAAAGAAGCGTAATCCTCGCAAGGTCAGGTGGACCAAAGCGTTCCGGAAAGCAGCCGGCAAGGAACTGACAGTGGTGAGTGTGCCCAGCTCGCAATGCAGTTGTCCGGGTTTTCAGAGAATTCACTTGGTTTGGGTGAGCAGAGGTGGTGTGTTCTAATTAAACAAAACAAGGCTTGCCATAGCAGGATGGTGAGTGCTCTGTTTATGTTTGAGTGTAGAAATAACCTTGATGTCCCGTGATCCTGCAAACCTTAGTTCTGTAGAATTTTGGAAAGGGAAAGCATTTCTAATCCAGCTTCTAAAAGTAGATTCTCTAAAAACTATTTTTAGCATTTGTAAATAAAGAACAAAGTCATTTTAATGGATTGAGGTCAAGTTGGAAGTTGGTGCTCAAGGATTTTGAGATAAAGTTAATTATTTGAAGGATTTCTAAATAGTAGTGTGGGCTTTTGATAAGGTCTGTAATAGACTTTATCAGGTTCTAGATTTCCATAGAAGGACTTGTGCTGGTGTAAGGAGGAGGCGGAATCAAGGGGTAAGGGGATTTGATGGGGCGAGCTCCCAAGGTGATGCTGACAGCACAGAGGGGACAGGTTTGAGGGAGAGAGCAGTGGAGCAATGGTCCATTGCTACCAGCAATGGTCTGGTAGCCCCAGAGCATCTTTTGGGTCTGTCATGTGGGGCTGGGGCCATTTTTCACCGCTTTCCCAGGTAAATTAGTAGGGAACTAAAACCAGCATCCTTAGGAATGCTGGTAATACAGGCATGGTGGCTTAACATGCCATGACGCAATACTGGCCCCAGATCATTTGGGAAGCCAAGAGCTACCTGTTGCCTCTCTAAAATGGTTTTGTGTATCTAAAGAAGAATCCACATTGATTGTTAATTGTCAGAATGCCAACTGGTAGAGGTGGCATGAACACCTGGAGGGGGGGAACTGAAGTACAGGCTGAGCTTGTACCTGGAGAGCAGCGCCATGTGTATTTGCAGATGCATTGTAGCATACCTTTTTGCTGTAACAAGTATTTAGGTTGATCATAGGAAATTCTTGATGTTTGACTTTTCTGAGCTGTTAAAATATGGAAATTTCCAATGGTTCAAGCTCATAAAATTTTCTGACTGTGCATTTATCTGAAGTGGGAAGGTGGGGAAGCTTCATGTTTCTGGTTAATTCCCGTATGACATGCTCTTTCAGGGGACCACTCTGAGAGCCCCCTGTGTGTAATGCCTTCGCTAGGGCTGTCTTGTACAGGGAGTGTATGGGGAAGAAGTTTGGAGACCTGCACTTTTTCGATTGCTCTGAGGAGAGTCTTCATTGTGTCTGCCAGAGTTCTTGTGAAAAGAAGAGTGTCTTAAAAGTGCCTGTCTTAAAATACCCGTCTCCGACCTGTGTTTGCTCCTGCAGGATAATTCATTTGAATTTGAAAAACGAAGAAATGAACCTATCAAATACCAGAGAGAGTTATGGAATAAAACTAGTAAGTAACAGGAAGTTTTTTGACTATTCAAGATATTATTGTAATTTAAATGTCAGTTTATTTAAATTTTTTGATTTTGTTGCTTCATTTTTGTTTTTCTGTCCTTTTTTTCCCCCAGTGGTTCTGTTGTGTTTGTGTCTTTTATTAAAAACTATTCCAAATCCATCTTAGCGTTGGCTGATGTATCATAAAAGAATGTCATTATTAAGCTTGATAGCGTTTGAAGTTCCCCACATAGTTATTAGAACACAAGAATGGCTGAAATATGCACAAAATCAAAGGCAGTTTTCAAGTTTAGACTGCTTAGATATATAAACTGCGTAAGTATTCTGTACACTTTATAAAATTTAGTTATTTTTTTGAAAAAAAAAAAGATTTATTTGAAAATCAGATTTACAGAAAGAGAAGGAAAGGCAGACAGGTCTTCCATTTCCATGTTCTGGGTCACTTCCCACCTGGCCTCAGCGGCTGGGGATAGACCGCTGTGAAACCAGGGTCTTAGAGCTTCCTCTGGGTCTCCCATGGAGGTGTAGGCATCCAAACACTTGGGCCATCTTCTGCTACCCTTTTTTTTTTTTTTTTAAAAGATTTATTTTTATTATTTTTTCATTGGAAAGGCGGATATACAGAGAGGAGAGACAGAGAGGAAGATCTTCCATCCAATGATTCACTCCCCAAGTGAGCGCAACGGGTCGATACTATGCCAATCCGAAGCCAGGAGCCTCTTCCGGGTCTCCCACACGGGTGCAGGGTCCCAAAGCTTTGGGCCGTCCTCTGCTGCTTTCCCAGGCCACAGGCAGGGAGCTGGAAGGGAAGCGGGGCTGCTGGGATTAGAACCGGCGCCCAGATGGGATCCCGGGCGTGCAAGGCGAGGACCTTTAACCACTTGCGCCACCGTGCCAGGCCCTGCTACCCTTTTTAAGATGCGTTAGCAGGAAGCTGAACTGAAAGTGGAGCAGCCTGGGGCCTGGCGCAGTGGTTCAGTAGCTGAATATTTGCCCTGTGAGCGCCAGGATCCCATATGGACGCAGGTTTGTGTCCCAACTGCTCCACTCCCCATTCGGGTGTCAGCTTGTAGCCTGAGAAAGTAGTGGAGGACTGGCTGAAACCTTGGAACCCTGCAGCCACATGGGAGACCCAGAAGAAGCTGCTGGCTTTGGATTGGCACAGTTCTGGCCATTATAGCCACTTGAAGAGAGAACCAGTGGATGGAAGATCTTTCTGTCTCTCCTTCTCTCTTCATAAGTCTGCCTTCCCAATGAAAATAAATGCGTATTAAGAAAGTGAAGCAGCCAGAATTGAGTTGGCCCCTAAATGAGATGCCATTGTTGTGGCTGTGCTGGCCTCTATTGTTTAAAATTAAAGCGTTCAAACAGAAGGTGATTGTCAGATTTTGTGAGGAAACTTCTAAGTGTTTGACTTAGGTAAAAATGAAATTATAGACTACTGAAATTAAAAACAATAATATCTAACTTTTGTCTTTTTTTTTTTTTTTCTTCCTGAAGTAGGCAAGGATTTTAGTGGAAAATGTCCCATGTGCTGTCAGATTGAGTCCCTTGACCTAGTTCCCTGTGTTTGCTTGAGGCTGCTCCCGCCCCAGGCCTTTTCCTGCATGGCTGTCACTGTGCAGTGTTTCCAGTGTTGTTGAGTGTGAGAGTGAGGAGGGTACAATTGTACAAACCTTGTCACCCTCCTAATGGATCATAGGCAGGGTGCCACTTTTAGCACAGTTCCCTGTCAGTCACAATTCTGTAGGGGAGAAATTGAAAAAAAAGTGGATCTTTGTAGTAGTATTTGATGCCTATAAAGCTTTGCCTTTCTGAATTTGGAGTTGCCTTTTCCATTTAGCCTCAAGTGTTCCCCTTGTTGTCTCTGTGCCTGCTTGCTTTTGCCTTCCTTTTTTTTTGCTCCCCTCTTCCGCCATCTTTATTCTCTTGCCTTCCTTTTATAAATAAAGACTTCCTTTTTGTTTGGTAATTGAAAAAGGTTAATTTCTGGAAAGCAGTTGATTTTACTGGGTTTATTTAGTTAAGGAAATAACATTGATTCAAATTCAGGGATTTCCAAAGAAATTTATAACATCATAGGTTTCTTAATTTGATTTTAAAGCCACTCTTGCTAAGGAGATTCTTGCTGTACATTCTGAATCTTCAGTGCTCTGTTGACTTTTTTTTTCCTGAGAGGATTCTGGTACCGTTTTGTATTGGGTCCCTAAAAATGGACTTTTGGAAAGATTTGCTGGGTAGACGATATGAGAGTCTTAAAATTGTTTCCTAATGTTTTACACAATTAGAAATGTTTTTCAGTGGTGTTCCAGACATATATATTACTTGTCTAGGAAATTCCTGTGTGTCATAGCTCACCATAATTAATCTGAATTGAGATGTGCTATTAATGCAACATGGATGTTGGATTTTGAAGACTTAATTTGAAAGCACATATAAATTACCTGAATAGCACATAAAATACCTAATTAGCACTACCTACTGTTTATATATTGGGTTCAACAAAATGTATCACCAAACTTATCACATAGTTATTACTGTATGTAATTATTAGTAAATATAACAAATGCCTGTTACTTTTTAGTTCCTAGAAATTTTAAGCTTATATGTATGGTTTGTCTTTTATTGGACAGTGCTGACATTGTTCTAGGCTCTAGAGCTTAGTTGGATTTAATTCTCTTATGGCTGCAGCTCCTGTAGACAGTTTCCCAGACAATTGGAGTCTAGTGGCTGAGAATGTGGCAGCATTGATTGGTCCTTTCTGCCGTGGTCAGCACAGGCCAATGTATCTCAAGCTCCTGAAGACAAAGTGTTGATGATTAGAGAGATGCTGTCCTTCAGAGAGATTCCCAGCTGGGCATGGTGTTAATTGCCCATTATCACAGTTCTCTGCAGAATTAAATTTGAAAGGCATCGGGTTAGTTTAAAGTAGAAATTTAGTTTAACAGCAGTGAAGGCTTTTGTAAAATAAAAATTAGACCATGATCCTTTTTAAAAGAAAGATTGACAGTGATGTCAGCCTAGGAACACATGCCTTCAGTGGTAGAAGTTGTTTTGACAGCAAATGTCTTTCAGTTAAATTCATTTTATGTGGAATATTAAAGATGTGCTTATTCATATACTTGTTGGTTATAGTCATACTGCCTACATGTGCATATATTTGCTAATTTTGATGAAATTTTTTTTAGTTGATGCAATGAAGAGAGTTGAAGAGATAAAGCAGAAACGCCAAGCTAAATTTATAATGAACAGGTATGAATATTTGTAGAGTAACTTCTGTGAAAATAAAGAGATTAGTTTTTTTTAAGTTTTTAAGTTTGACATAGCTTTAGGTTTACAAAAAGCTTGCAAGAATAGCATAAAGCAAACATATTAGCATTTTACCACATTTGCATAATTCTTGTTGCTATGTATAGAAAGTTGAAGATATACCTTCCTAATTATAGTTCCTACATAGTTCTTTTAAACTATACTTCCTAGGTGTAGTTAAGTGTCTGTATCTTGAGAATAGGAATGTTTCATATGTAAACACAATTTACCAAAGATAAACATGATACAGTGCTGATAATGTACAGAACTCATTCATATTTCACCACTTGTTCTAATCATGTCCTTCAAAGCAATAGAAAACCCTGGAACACGCACTGTTCTTTGCTGCTGTGTCTTCAGGCGTTTGTAATCTGGCCAGTTTGTCAGCTTCCTTTGTCTTACATGACATTTTTATAGAGTGCAGGGCAAGATATTTTGTGAATGCTCTTTACCTTGAGTTGTTTTTAATATCTTAGATTGCTGTGCTGTTAGAATTACTGGAAGATAAAATCCACATAAAACAGAGATAGTGTTAATTATTGAGAAAATCTGTAGACAGTTTAATAATTAGAGGTTGTATGGTGTATTCTGTATACATAAGAGATATTGATCTTGATGAGATTTGCTGATTTTTAAAAATCAGTCACATCCTTCTTGTACTCAGCAAGCATACATTCAGTCCCCATTTTGTGTCAGACTAGCCACATGGGATACAGTGAATGAGCAGTTGGTAGTATAGGAATCCTAATTTCCATCATTGAGAATTAGAAAATAATTTTGAATTTGAGTTGTTAGGCTAGAAAATGTATTCTGGAAGAATTCCAAAGGTGATTTCACTTTACATTTAGATGGAAGTGGGAATCACTTGAGACAACGGAGAGGCTGTTCACTGGGTGCTGCTGTTGCTGCTCAGTCAGGGAGGGAAGGGGAAGTAAGGGCGCAGAGGAAAGATGTTTCTCATTTCTCATCTCTGTGGCTTATTTAATTCATGAAATTTTGCAGCTGTACTGTGAGTAATGTCAGGGCTTTGATGTGTTCTATCCTAGATTGAAGAAAAATAAAGAACTACAGAAAGTTCAGGACATCAAAGAAGTCAAGCAGAATATCCACCTCATCCGGGCTCCTGTTGCAGGTAAGTCCCGCAAAGGAGTTGCCTGCTTCAGCAAGAGGGGTGAAAATATTCCATTTTTGTTTGCAATTGGATATGAGTTGACTTTCTTAAGGGTATTTTTCACTTAAATGTTATGCCATGACTTGGCTTACAAAATTATAAATTTATTCAGTATGCTTCCTGGTGGTAATGAATCTACTGTATTTGGTGTTTTTCTCTCCATATGATCCTGTTTGTTGTAAAGTACCTCTCCAAGTTAGAATGATTCGAGTAGTAATTTTTTAGTAGAATTTTACCCAATGCCTGTTTGATAAAATGCTGATGTTTTCTGCTAGTGGCTGTCATACTGTGGTATTGGAATTACTGGGAGATATTAATATAAATGAACATATTGCATTATCAGCTTTGCAGCTGATTGTGGTAGGAATGCTTCAGGACTGCTGCTTCACACTAAGGCCTTCTCTAACTTGTCTTTGTCATGGTCACTGATTGGCACAGTTGTTGGTGAGTGCAGTTGATGTGTTGCTTGTTAGCACCAGTCTTACTTAGTTGACCTCAGGTCCAGTCGGTTGGAATTTATTTAAGCAGATGACTGAAGTGGAGAAATTCTGCCTCCGCCTTACTGTGTTTCTGTATCTGCATGTCAAGTATGAAAGCCCTACCTAGGTTATTTGTATTAAAACAAAATAGAAATCTTGCAACATTTGTAATGGGACCCTGAATCCATGTGACTGGAGTTCAGCTTTCAGCTTTTAGACTTACTGGAATTAGTTGCTGAGGAATTCGTCTCCAAGCCTCTGTTTTGCTGTTTTAAAGTAGGGTTGCTAGTGTGAGATGAAGCAGTGTCTGTGCAGTGCTTCCTCTGAGTTAAGACCTGTGGGGCTGTATGATGTTCCCTGTTAGCATTTGTGAGTTTGTTAGCAAATGGTTACTGATATTCCCAAGCGCTCAAGCTCCTTTAATAAGTGCTGATAAAAATTTTGCAGAATCACATCATACTGAATTGATGACATTTTTGTTTTTATTTAAAGGCAAACAGCTGGAAGAAAAAATGGTACAGCAGTTACAAGAAGATGTGGACATGGAGGATACTTCTTAAAAATTTGTGCTTTTGAAAATCTCTTTTGGAGACTTAGGACTTGCTAAACTATTGACAGGTATTTTACAGAAGATCACGCACATGAGAAGTGATTAAAAATACATTTCTCTGAGATTGCTGTCTTCAGAGCATCAGATTGTGGATGTTACAGTGTGTCTCCATGTTAAATCTTCCCTGGTAGAAGTGTTTATGTAAATCAGGAAGTTCTGTTTTTCAATATAGAAGTAACTTGTGGCAACATTTATATGATAACTGTCCACAAAAATTCAATGGAAAGGATATTATATAAAATAAAGATTTTTTGCGGTAAAATATTGCTTGTATGCATTTTATGAAAGTGGGGCAACAATAAGAACTTAACCAATTTATATGACAATCTTAATACTTGTTTTTTTAAAATAATACTTTTGATTTTGGTATTTGCTGTTTTAGTTTGTTAGCATCTTGGAAGAGCATAATGGTTTTGTGTAACTAAATCTTATTTCACTGACTTTTCCCTCGTTGAACATCTCTGATAGGCAGTTCTAGATGTTAGGGTAAGAGCTGAATGGTTGCCTGGAATGGCACAGGATAGAATGCATTTTGGAGGATACTGTGATTCTTGGTAGAGCAAGATTTAATCTTGTAACTTAGTAGTAATGTGAAATGGTAATCCTAGTGCTTTTTAAAATTTGTTATGCAGTTTTCTTTTCATAAGTTCCTAGAATTATCTTTGGAAAACAATGACTAGGATGTATATCTATTATTTGTTCATAAACTAAAACTATTTCTTTTTTTTTTTTAAGATTCATTTATTTTTATTACAAAATCAGATATACATAGAGGAGGAGAGACAGAAAGGAAGATCTTCTGTCCGATGATTCACTCCCCAAGTGACCGCAACGGCTGGTGCTATGCCTATCTGAAGCCAGGAGCCAGGAACTTCCTTCAGGTCTCCCACGTGGGTGCAGGATCCCAAGGCATTGGGCTGTCCTCCACTGCTTTCCCAGGCCACAAGCAGGGAGCTGGATGGGAAGTGGAGCTGCCGGGATTAGAATTGGCGCTCATATGGGATCCTGGCGCGTTTAAGGTGAGGACTTTAGCCGTTAGGCCATGCCGCTGGGCCCACTAAAACCATTTCTGAAGTAAGTGCTTACATATTTATTATCAAAAGGTACTAAGTATAAGCATGTGTTTATTACTTGGAATAAATAACTTTACAAATGCAGTTTCAAGTAGGAGATTTTTTAATTGAGAAATACATATTGACTTATAAATGTATTAAGAATATTAAGTACTTGAATTTTTATTAATTGTGCATTCTAAAAATGGCTAATTTTTAATTTCAGTATTAGATTTTCTTAAAAAGTAGATTTTTTCTTTTTTAAAAAAAGTAGATACATCCTGGAACAAGTTTAAGATTACCTGAATTCCAGTGCGATTTATTTATGTTCTTTTTTTTCCTTTTTTTAAAAGATGAATTTGTTTATTCATTGGAAAGAGTTACAGAGAGTAGGAGGGAGATCTTCCATCCATTGCTTCACTCCCCAAATGGCTGCAGTGGCTGGAGCTAGGATAGTCCGGTCCCAGGAGCTTCTTCAGGTCTGCATGTGGGCTTGGAGGTCTTAGCACTTGAGCCATCTTCGGCTGCTTTTCCAAAGGTGTTCACAGGGAGCTGGATCAGAAGTGGGACAGCCTGCCCTTGATACGGTGTTCACATAGGATGCCGCCATTGCAGATAACAGCTTAACCTGTTGCGCCACAGCACTTAGCTCCCATAGGTTTTTTTTTTTTTCCAACAGGCCCACCAGTGTAGTAAATGGTATGTTTAGTGGTACCTACTAGGGCAGATATGTGGCAACACAAAACTTCGCAACAGCAACAAGTTTTTGACTTGGGAACAAGAAGAGTGTACGGACTTGGGGATACTTGTGGCAAAATTGAATATACTGAACTGAGTCCACAAACAGGAAAGAGCATATATGAATTAAATGTTATGAAGAGCATTGCACTCTCCAGACATTCTCTGTTTTGAGGAGTAGGCACCGGAAGTACATTCCTGGTTATTCTGAACATTTGTTCAAAATTTTAAGGGATAATCTGAGTGATATAACAAATATAAACTGTATTGAGTGAAGACGATCTTTTAAAAATGAATGTGGCAGTTAGCTGAGTTAAGAATGTTAGAAAGCCATCAGTATGAAAAGACTATGTCTCATGTCTTCTGGGAGCATTTTCTGGAGTTTATTTTCTTTTGTTGGTATGTAGCAGAATTGAAAAGTGACCTACTAGTTTTATCTTGCATGGTTGTTAATGGTTTCATCTGGCCTCCTGTTGATTTGAATGTTTTTCTGTGTATGGGTGAGTTTCTTTGTAATGGTTTCCTTATGCTGTGGTGTTGAGGGGCAAGCCTCTGGCTTGAGCTCTCTTGACTGAACAATGTGTATACATCGTTAATCATAACCAGTTGGGCTCCTCTGTGAGGTTGGCGGTGGTGCTTCTGCCATCTGATCTCCTCCAGATACAGGTTTCCTGGCCTCTTTCTTTAGTCTCCCATGTGACTGTGGTCCTGCTTAGTGAATTCCTTTTTGTCAGCATTTGCAACAGAATTGGTCTGGTAAACATCCTTCCTATGCAGCTAATCTAGGCAACTCATTTCTGTCGTAATTTCCGAAACCCTGGGTCAGGTTCTGTTTTATCCCAGACTTAATAAATACTGAGTGCATGGAACACGTTCGGTGAATGCAGACTAACAGGAAAATGTGTGGCCACCAAGAGGTAGGTTTCCTTTAGTCTGTTTTTAACCTGACCATGAAGGATAAATTAGGGGTTAGCATTGTGGTGTCAGGATTAAGTCATTGCCTGTGGCATCCCATTTGGTTGCTGCTCCATTTCCTATCTGGCTTCCTGCAGATGGCCTGGGAAAAGCAGTGGAAGATAGCCCAATTGTTTGGGTCTCTGTATCCATGTGGGAGAGCCTCCATGAAGCTCCCAGCTCCTGGCATCAGCTTAGGGCAGCTCTGTCTGTTACATCCAGCTGGGGACTGAAGTACAGGATGGAAAACCTCTCTGTCTCTCCCTCTCTTAATATAACTTTCAAATAAATACACACATCTTTAAAGAAGAAACAAACACCAGAATGGAAGTAGCTCTGGTGAGAAGTCTTGCTGAAGAGGATTGTCCCTCCTTCTGCTGCTCAGAGTGCTGTCTTAAGGGGCAATCAGAACTGCTGTTTAGGTCTGAGCAAAGTGCTCACATGTCAGGGAATCACAGGACACAGTGAAGGAGTTGCTTTCGGCAATTTTGTCTACAAGTTTCTTGTCTTCAAGTTCCTTCAAGAAGCACAGAATCTAGAAATAGAAATAAGGAAAACTGGGGTAGAATCTGTTAAAACATGAAAAAGACTGATGAAAAGACTGTTAACCAAAAAATGAAGGAGGCTAGCCCGTTAGCCTTCTGAGAAACTTCAGAATGCCAGCTATTAAGTATTTACTTCATTTGAAAAGAGGATTCTTTAAAAAAATTCATGGCAATAAGTGATATGAAAAAACTGTGCATGAATTTTATGTATTGCACAAAAATGAGCCTTTTAACTTTATTTTTCGAGAATGTTTTGAACTTCTTTCTGTGGTCTAGTAGAGTGTGTGTAGATGCTCCTCTGCCTATAATGCAGTTCTGTTCTATCAAACCCCTTCTAAGTTGAGAACATCTTTGTAATGCAGTTGGTGTTCCTAACCCATCAGGCCTCGCAGCTTAGCATCACAGAGCACTGCGGAGTATCCGGCATTTACCCCTAGGATGTGTGAGTGGCTGCAAGCGGTGGGTCATTGCTGCTGCCCAGCATATTGCTAGTTCGTGGACAGATCAAAATTCTGTGTCTGAAGTACGACCCCTGTTGAATGCTCAAGAACATGAGAGAATGTAAGTTGAAGCACCAGTTGGGAACTAGATCTATACACCTGCTTCAGCGTCAGGCCATAGACTCTAGAGGAATGGCAATGAGAAGTAGGCATTCTGGTCATTGAGATGTGCTGTACAATTTCTTTGTCTACACTTCATGATATTGTCATATTATCTTTTGTAATATATTTTTTTGAAGATCTATTTCTAATTGAAAGGTACATTTTACAGAGAGAAGGAGTGACAGAACAGTCCTCCATCTGTTGGTTTGCTACACAAATGAGCACAGAGGCTGGAGGTAAGCCAGTTGGAAGCTGAGAGCCAGGAGCTTTTTTGGGGTCTCCCCCATGGGTGCAGGGGCTTAAGAACCAGGGTCATCCTCGGCGGTTTTCCCAGGCTTTAAACCGGGAGTCGGATTGGAAGTGGAGCAGCTGGGACATGACTGTTGCCCATATGGGATGCCAGCTGTTGCAGGTAGAGGATTAGCCCATATACCACCATGTTGGGCCCCTGTTTTTAAAATGATATTAGAGGGATGAAATACACAGTGCAAAAAAATAAATTAAGACATTAAAGGGACCTATCATCTCAAAACAGATAATGGTACAGAATATTTGCTTGTACTTTGTCAAATTGTAGATGACTATGTTGAATGCCCTTTGTGTTGCCAAAGCACCAGGGCTAGTAGCTTCTTGGCTTTGTAGAAATGTGATTTCTCCATTTCTAGTGGTTACATGAGAATAATTACCAGAGGATACATTAGAATATGTGTTGGGAATAAAGGCTGTATAGTAGGAAACTTCTCAAAGCATGTAATATCCAGACCACAGTTTCTCAGTGTGTTTGGTTCTGTGTTTATAGAGAGCCTAATGTGATAGCCTAGTGGTTCAAGTCCTCGCCTTGCGCGTGCCAGAATCTCATATAGGTGCCAGTTCAAATCCCAGCGGCCCTGCTTTCCATCCAGCTCCCTGCTTGTGGCCTGGGAAAGCAGTTGAGGACAGCCCAAAGCCTTGGGACCCTGTATCCATGTGGGAGACTTGGAAGAGGCTCCTGGCTCCTGGCTCCTGGCTCCTGGCTTCGACTCAGTGCAGCTCCAGCTGTTGCAGCAGCCTGGGAATTGAATCAACGGACAAATCTTCCTCTCTGTCTCTCCTCTCTGTATATCTGACTTGTCAATAAAAATAAAATCTATCTTAAAAAAGAATATGGTCCCACTTAGTCCCAGAGTTCCCGTGGTTATGGCAAGTTACATTACATATCTCTTCAAATATTGACAACCTCTCAAGTTAGTCCTCCGCATCCTGCACATGAAGACCAAGGAGGTAAGAGACATCGAATAACTTACACCATGTGACTAGCTCTAGCAGTCAGCAGAGCTGGAGCAATCTGACATGTAACTCACCAGCTTGAGTCCTGAAAGGCAC